TAATACGAATACTGTGAATGATTGAAGATTTTGACTGAATATTATTGGAAAAATATTTTTTTAATTAGTTCCATTTAATAATAAAAGATCTATGGATATAATTTCTATGTTTTTGTTATTATTGAGAGAACTCTTTTTTTGTATTTAGGTGTAAATTTGTACTGAAGCTTTTAACTGTAAATGATCCTTTGTATTTTATAGTAATCGAAATTACATTACATATCTTATCTAGATTATAACTAACGTATTAGAATACAGTTTTGTCAAAGATTAATCTATTGCTTGTGTTCTAATTATGCGATAATCATCACTTCATATTATCTTTGACATAGACTTACATAGACGAGAATAGCTTATTAATACTGAGATGTCGAGATCAATCTTGATAGAACGAAGAAAACCAGATATAATAGATAAATGCTTGTTTTCATCCATTTTTATTGATATTAATAACTTCTATTAGCAAAGAAAAATGAATCTTATGAAGTTATAGATGATTAGCAATTTTCTATGAATAAAATTTGATTTATTTTGTCTATGTTTACTCTTTGATAGAATGATCATAGAAACAAAGACTATATTACTAATACTACATCTTTATTTATTGAATCAAAATTCACACAAAACTTTATTCTTTTTTTTTTATTACCGAACAGGTCAAGCATAAAAGATGTGTGACAATCAATAAAGAAAAAAGGTAATTGAATCGATATGATTAAATATATTCAAGTATTCTAACTAGGTGGTGGAAGATGAGGCACTGGAGGATAACTGGATCTATTTCTAAAAGATAAATTTACACATAAATACATATTAAACAACAATAAAAGTAATCATACAACATAGATTGTGTATTTCCAAATCGCTCACCAGCATCCATACCAAGTGCTCCAGCTCCTATACCAAAGCCAACACCACGAATACCAAATTTTCGAGTATAACATTGTCTACAATATATATCTCCTTCATGTTCAGCCAAAGTCGGAACTTCTAACATTTTCTTACAAAGACCTAAATGATAAAAATCGATAAAAAAACACAAGAAACTTAATTTCAGTTTCATTACCACAACGAAAACATGTCTTATGCCATATTTTTCCAGCAGCTGGAATTGATTCTGCATGAAAAGCTGCATGATTACAACGAGGACATTGAGGATTTTCTGCATTCTTATATGACATTCTTAAACAAGAATAGAAGTTGTTATTTTTTATTCCATTTGAAAATAACACTTACTTTTATTTCACCTGTTATACTTCGTCGAAAAAGAAAGAATAACTTTCCAAGTTATATATATATAATCAGCTAAATGTCTGATATTTACGTTAAAAATTAGTTGTAATACATCAAATATAGTGCAAAAACAGGTCTTTCTAATTGTAGAAGAACGAGCAAAGAAAATAGCATAGATGAGAAAAAAAAGACATCTATCAACATGGACTTGTTTGTATAAAGCGTAGGTCGTCGTCTATTGAAGTACATACAAGCAAATGATGTCAATCATTGATTATATGAGATTTTGTTTGTCTTATTAACTCAGTTTAAGATAGATACGTTACTTTAACGAATCGAAAAACGTCGACGAGAAGATATCGATTGTCACAATCATAAGTCAATTGTTAAAGCTAGTTGATAGTACTGTTGATATTTCTATTAATGATTGCTTATCTCATTGATGTATGGAACATAAATACTAAAATCTTCTTTAAAGAAAAGGTCACATGTACTCCAATGATATTTATCATTAGTATAAACCAAAGTTTTCATTTAATTTCTACAGACATTTGATGTATAATAAATATTTTCAGTATCACCTTGAAACTTGAAGTACCAAAGCATTTTACAAATAATTATCGTTGTATATACTTCTTTCTTTTCTTTTGTCGTCTACATTTAATAAACATACTTTAGATAGTATGATACTCTTAAAAAAATTGTTTTTCTACCTTCAATATACTGCACTGACAGGAATAAATCTTATTCCATCAATACTTGATAAAACTTGAAAACATGTGTATTTTTTTCACATCAGTATTTTAATGAAAGTTAATTTTAGTAAAAGCATAAAAGAATAGATAAAAAAAAGTGAATAAAATCAAAAGCTTCAAAGAACGGCAGCATTTTTTTCTTTCATTACTCATTATATATTTCTTCATAAAAAAAAATTCAATTTTTTTTAAATTGATTTCAAATGTCAACAACTGGACTTGATTCATTTCGTAGATATTCAACTAATATTTCATTGAATGAACATATTGATCAACTTAATGAACAATTACATCATTTACTTGATAATAATCGAATTCATTTTAGTAAAAGAAAAAAACTTCTTTTACAACTTGAAAGAAAAAATAATCAATATCGACGAGTTATTGATCGATTAGATTTACAAAATCAAAAAAAAATAACGATTAATAACGATCTTATTCGATGCATTAAAAAAAAGATTATAGATGAAGATCGTCAACAACGGCAACAGAGAACAAATGAACAAGAAGAAGACACTAGTTGGTCTCTTGGTAGTATGGCTACTTTATTTGGTGCAGCTTTTGCTGGAATTATTAGTGCTGCTACTTTTATTATAATGATGTTAGACCGTTCAAAAGAAAGAACCATTTAAAGTATATATACAACGGATCGAACAATTATTTGTCTACGTATGGGAAATCATCCTACTTTCTTTCTTATGGCTGAATCAAATAAATAAGAAAGCTATTGTATATCGTTATATGGTACATCATACCTATATGATTTAAATAGTATGACTTCCAAGGATGTTCTGCCTATTATTTCTATTTTCTAAAAACAAGATGATGCAATTATGCCGCATATTCATTATGAAAAATTATTCATTTTCAATCAATAATTAGCAAAATGGAAATTCATGATTCAAGATCATAGAGAGCATAATCTACATTAAATAATCTAATAAAATTTTTATGATTTGTCACAGCTAGAAGAATATTCTCCGTTATTAATAATTTACATGATACAAGCATTATAAGCAGAGGTACATGCCAAACTTGATGACAGCAACATTTTGTTGCTTCACAGGGCTCTAAGTTATTATGCGTATCTCATGTACTTTCTCTTAGGCCAGTGACTACTTTTAAGAAGACAACATCTGAATTTGAGCAAATCATTTTTATATCATGCTTCTATTATGTAAATTATTAATGACGAGGGATATTATTCTAGCTGTGACAAATTATCAGAAAGATTTTCAAGCTTTAGTTCTACAATATTTTCTGTCATTTTGATTTTGCTTTAGAATTTGTTTCTCATGCGTCTTTTTAGTGAGACTAGTAAAGAACAGAAAAAAAAACTGTGCTCCCTATAATCTTGAGTCATGAATAAAATCAACATATATTGTTGAAAGTAATGCTATATAATTTATATAGGTATGGTGTACGACATAGTGATATATCATTGAAGTCTCTAATTTGTTTGATTCAGACATAGGAAAGAAAATAGGATGACTTTACATGGGTGGACGAATGATTGTTCGACTCACTGTGTATCTAATATATTTTATTCATTTGTTAATATGATCTTGTAAAGAATTTCAGATTTTTTCTTCTCAAGATGAGAACACATCTCAAAAGTCAATAAATCTTTACAAGGTTGTTTTTGAATAAAAAGAAACTTGAAAATAATTTGTTCTTTATACTGTACGATTGGCACGACCTTCAGTCTATTATATTATAGTTTCGTTTATTTGCCTTCGTTTCTGTTATACATAAGCTTTACATATCTGATCATCAATTTACGACTTGAAAGTAAACCGCTTGCTGCGAATAGGCTATTCAAGCGTAATTTAAGCATTGTTATTATACGATTGGTAGATGAAGTTTTTCCTAAGTTGCTAACAAAAGAACTAACTATTTTATACTACGGGCAGTATCAATAGTGCTTTAGGTAAGGTCAATCTTGGATCGGTCGATCTCTATTATAGACATTTCCTATGTGTAAACTTCTCAAATGCTGACTATTGTCATGGTAGTGATATGGACGAGGCTCTGTCACTTGAAAAATACATTTTATCAAACGATACTTTTATGTTCTCCAAAAATTTTTCTTATCCGAAATCGTCATCAACAGTGTAATAGCAATAGTACTGATGGCTCGACAGTAAGACAGATTTCAATCACAATTCATCCTTATTCAGAAAATATTAAAATCGGCTTTCTCATTGTAGTCCATATTGATGTGAGATCAATATCAAAGAGTCAACATGTTGATTTCTCTCACTACAGTAGTCTCATTAAGGAAAATCTATAGGCCATCAAACGGTAATTATGATAAAAGAAATGATCGATGAAAATCGATTATCAGTAACACACAAGCACATGAATAGTTTTTATACGACTCTGGCTTGAGTACAGACTCCTCTCTACTTCTACACAGATTATTTGAATGTGAGCGTCAGTTTTGTTGAGGAATATTATTCTACATAATCACTTCTTCTCTTTATGTTTATAAACGTCAAGAACATTGTTTTTCTGCATCGAAAGACACAAACATGTCAATTGTCCGATGAGTACAATTATGGTTGCTATAGATTTGCTTCAGTAATTCATCAATTTTGTTATTGAAAAAGTGTCCAATCCAATGAAATCATCAACATGATCGTTTTGAACGATATTGATAGAAAACGTAAAAAAGGAAAATATAAAAAAAAAATAAACACATTAGCAGGAAATAAGTAAATCACTATAAACATATTTGATTCAAACATACAACTTTTCAGCTAAGTGTTATAGCATCCGCTGGATACAGTCAGCAAATACAGAAGATTTTGAACTACAATTTGACACTTTAAATGTAAAAATTTTTTGAACAAGATATCAATGGAAAAGAACTCTTGTTCATTCAACCATCATTGATTGGTAAAGCAACCAAAACACGAGATTTTAATCAAATCTCTCTTGCCTTTCTCAGTATTAAATGATGAAAGATCAGTGATTTGTATTATCAATCAAGAGAAAGAATTTAGCACTTTCAACGTTGTCGTTTCGATGTTTTTCTTCAACTTTGTTTTGAATTACTTCTGATATATTCTCATTTCTCTCGTTGTTATCATGCTGCTCAAGTATTGTTAATAGAGGATCAAAAAACCATGCTTGTATTGGAATAACTAAGACACCATAGATTGTGAATACTTCGACGGATGCTAAATAGCATAATGCAAGAAGTAGATCATATCTCACCGGGAAGTACATCTGGTGACATAACAAAAGCTTAAGTAAAATCAGAAAGTCTAATTTCAACAGACCATTTGGAATATAACTTAGGACATAGAGTTGATCTAAAGTACCGGTAGCGAGTAATAATCGTCGAAGTTTCTTCCTATCGATTATAGAGAAACGACGTACAAAATGATTTAATAATCTATTTAAATATTGTGATTCATGAACGTTAAGATTCGGATATAGATAATCAAGTGTTTTATTAACCCTTTTATTATGTGACTTATTGCGCATTATGTATGTACGAAATAGTTCAATTCTTCCTACTTCACGTACGACATCATATATTGGTAGAATTCCTGAACCAAGTTCAGAATACCGTACAGCTCGACATAACCATTTACGTGCTATAATAATAAAAACGAAGTACGATGGTAAGTACAAATAAACCATAACCAAATAGTATGCTGTATCGAATTCAATCATCATTGATGTTAATGAAAGTATTACTCTCATTTTCACTAAGTCGATTGGAGTGGTAATAATTGAGCATATATACGGACCGAGCTGCCAAAAAGCATACATTTGTATACCTGTTGAAACTAACTGCAAAGTAGTTTTCACTTGTTTTTTATAAATATTGAAACCATGCCGTTTTTCAAAGAGGAAACGACATATATAACTGAATGACAATGTTAAAAACATTCCTTCAATACTAAAGAAACATTGTCGATCTTCATACGAAAATTTACAATTAGCATACCATTGAATAGAGCTAAATTTAGAATAGAATAGATATATTATATTGAGCACAGGTGTGTAAGCTATAATCCACAACACCCATCGAATGTGGTTAAACAACCATCGAGAGAAGTATCTATTTTTCTCTTGAACAAATTGAAGAGTTTTCATGCATTTAACACGTAATTCTTCGGGACACCTTTGCACTGCAAGTGCTTTCATATAGTTCTGTTGTGCTGCTGACCAATTCATTTTTATTCTATGTATTTCAGCAATAGACGTGTATAGTATGGCACAATCAATGCAATTTATATCGACATTGAGATTAAGCACCAACTCATAATGCAAAAGAGCTTGATCGTATTCACAAATGTGATAGTATATTTGAGCAATTTCCGTATATATTTCAAGTGTTTTATATGGCAAACTTGAGCTTAGCTTAATTAATGTTTGGCACATTTCAATTACTGCTGCATACTCACCCTTGACTGTATATAGATGAGCAATACGTTCGTAAACTTGAATCATATTGTCGATATTCTCTTGATCATCTTCAAGCATCAGTCGATAATAACGTTCAGCTTTATCGAATTCATTTATCCTAACAGCATAATCACCTAATTTTAAGAGAACTTGTGTGCTTGTTTGTTCCAGTTGAATTTGTTCATTTATTTCCACTAGAGTAGCCTTTACATTCCAAGTACTATTATCTGTTGACTTTTCGATTCTATCGATACGAAAAACGCTACCCATACAAAATAATACTTCATGTTCATGTTTCATAAAACTTTCTTTTGAAATTTCAGCAAACGGCTTTGTCTGTTTGAGATTAAGATCAACTACATATTCGAATAATACATTCTGGAAATCTGATTGTATATCATTGTAAGAAAACGAAGCATATTCATGTGCAACATCAGGATCTAGTGTTGTCGAAAGAAATGTAGTTGTCGAATAAAGTTTGCCAATATTTTGTTGAAGGTCTTTGAACTCACTGGATGACATACATTGTCCACGATACAGATGAAGAATGTCTACATCAATATCTTGTAAATATTGAATAAAATCCGCATGCAGTTGATGGAGTCGTTGATAAAGATCATGAATATAAAAACGAAAGGTGTAGATTAAATCAATATCTTCTGTACGACATGCTTTATTTAATAAACGACAAAGAAAACTATCCTTTGTATACCACGATATTGCTTGAGGAATACAGTAACTTTCTTCAAATTCGTCAATTTTCTTTTGTTCAATCGGATCAGTTTGATACTGCTTGCGACATTCTTCAATCATTTCTTTCTTTGACGATTCTGTTTGAAACAGGCAACTAAGATGTTCAGTTAATAGTTCAAAATGGACTTTTTCTGAACTTCTCAGAGACATTTGATTTTCGTCGTTTGAGAAAACAAGTTCCTTCGGATTTAGATAGTTTGAATTAGGTGCAGTATCTCGATTTAAGACATTAACTAAATCACTTGAATCAATAAAATAGGTCATTTGATACAAATATGGCAAATGAACATCATCATTTTCGTAGATATAAATTGATTTTAGTTTTATTCGTAGGAAGACACATTTATCATTATTAACAATTCTTAATACGTTATACAAGGATGGATCGATAATAATCAAAATGATATTTTGTGACGTACATGAATCAATATGCTTGAGTACACTGTTAATTTCGTCAAAAACACTGTATTTGTGAAAAAATAAACGGTTAAATTGATGGAATTCATCATAAAATCTATCGAGAGCATTCTTCTCGTAACAAATTATATCTGGTTCATCGGTTGTCGTTGTATCGCTTACTTCATTCCATAATTTCCATTGACTATTAATCATATATAATGTTTGTTCTCTTTTGAGTAAATTTTTTTTCGAACGAAATGCACATAATGCAGTATTCAGTGTTAATTTTTGATTTCCAAGTATATAAATACGAACAAATTGTGGAGTATAGAAGATAAATTTATTAATATCTACAGGTAAAGAATGTGGAAGTCTGAAATTATGCCAATCCCAATCTTCAGAGGTATCTCCTGTCAACAAAATCACAAATACTTTTTCATCATTAATGGACTGTAGATAGTTGTAAAACGTATCTAGATTGTCGAATATTTTCGATATATTAAGACGTATTTTTAGCTTTTCTAATTCGGCCAACCATTTTCGATAGAAGTCAGTGGCATTGAGTTTGACGCAAACAATATAGTAATCATCAAAATATTGTTTCTCATTAATTAAAGATTCTTCTGTGTATCTTGAAGTTGGCGTTGACATCTAAACTATACAATAAACATCCATACAACTTGAAGATACAAACGTTTGTGAAAACACAAATGGAAATCACTGTTGAAGTATATAGCGAGAAAGCTGGATCCTTTCACACCTTGACAGACAGACGACATGGTTTTATAGATTTTCATGCAATGCTTTGAATTTTTAATCGATATGAAACCCATAAACTAAAAAATGCTTTTGTCTCTCTCTCTAGATGCGGCATTTTGTCCCTGATTATATGCGATCATAAACAACTAAGGATTATTCTCTCTTGATATCGTGATAGATCGCTACAATAATAAGAAGCATCTTCATGTTCACTTGAAACAACTCCATCGTGCTTTACAGTGTAACTCTGTAGGTGTTTCGCTGAAAGATTTCTTTTTTTTCTAAAGTCACAGGAAAATAGTCGAAAAATTTGATATTTCTATAAAGCAGTGAGTAAGGGACAGATAAGGACATTACCTGAAAATGGACTGATACTTATGACATAGATTGCATTTCTAGATTTATTTCGTCACACCAAAAAAGTACCAACGCGGCTCAAGTACATAAAAGAAAGTCATATTATTTAATGTTTCTCAAAAAAACTTTATTAAACTCGGCCTTGAGATGGATTTTTCCTCTGTAGAGACTCATTTAAATAGTGGATGTGGGAGTGTGGGAGTAGATCATCTCATCATCCACACCCACCCACACTCGCACCTTACCAGATAGAGCTCGATCAGTAGTATTCCGAGCAAGCATAGAAGATTCGAGACGAGTGCTAGACGAATGCAGAAGGATATGATCGAATGTGATGATGTCGTGACCGTTATTTTGGCTTTTTCAAGTTTTGATATCTTTCAAAGAACATCCAGGTATATTCTCATGGCTTTCTGTCGGAAGAATTATTGACTACAGTGGTGTCAGTTTGAGCTTAAGTGTCTGTCGAATTTTTAACTGAACACAATTTCTCATACCTACCCTTTTTCTTGACGAAAATTAATTTGGAGTTCGAAAAGCATCGTGTTTTGACATATTCTGATTAGAGATGTTACTTTATTTTTACTTTTCTTTATAACAAAGAATAAATATGAATGAAACCTTTATCTTTACAAAATAAATAATAAAGAAATTTTTTTTCTATGAAATCACAATTTTCACTTTTTACCACGTATTGATGTTGGTGATAAGAAAAATTTTGACCAACATATCTTCTAGTTGTACTAGGTATTCGTGTATTTATCTATAACAGAAAAAAAAAACGTTCTTTATTCTTTTTTATCTTTATTTTATTAAGATAAAGAATTAATTTATGTTTTTTTTACATAGATATAAAGATTATATTTATATTTATTAACCCTTTGGTTACGGGTTTTTTTTAATGTGCAGAAGTTTAAGACTTCTCTCTTCAGGTCGATTTTTGGTAGGCAAATGAAACTCTTGACTCTTTCCCACATAAAACGTAATAAATGAAAAAAAGGGCTCCTTCAGGCACTGCAGTTGGCGATGTTCTTTGAAACAAAAAAAAAATATTAAACGATTCCAATGGAACCCCACAGAAAATTCTTGTTGCCAAATTAGCTATTTTTGTTAATTTAGCAAACAAGAGTTCTTTGTGGATCTTTATTAGAATCGTTTAATATTTTTTTTTGTTTCAAAGAGCATCGCCAACTGCAGTGTGTGAAAGGATCCTTTTTTATTCATTAGCTTTTATGTGGAGAAAAAGAGTCAAGAGTTTCATTTTCTCACAAAAAATCAATTTTGGGAGGGTGATGCCTTAACACGCATATATGCGTGATCCGTAACCAAAGGGTTAAGTAAAGCAAAAATAAAGTAATATCCCTAATTCTTATATAAAACAGTGTACTTTACAAAATTATCACATATTCATAGTTATTAAATTTAGTTTCTAAATTATTTTTTTTTTCGAAAAAGAATTTTTGATATATTAAAAAAAATTAATTCGTCTAAAAAGTTGCTATAACTTTATATTTTGGAAATTCTAAGATGACTTTTGTAGTCAGTTATATGAAGTATTTTTTGCCATGTATTTGTAACAGAGTTGTAACGATTTATAGATTATTAAAACTAAAGATTATCACATTTTACGCCTTCTATCAATAATATCGAAACGTTAAAGTCAGAAAACGAGATAGTAAAAAAAAAGTTTTTTTACCAAAACGTAGAGCACTAAATTCTGCATCGATCTGTATTACTTTCAATTGGTTACATGAACATATTTAGGTCAAGAAAAGCAACAAAACAAGAAAAAGCTTTGAACTTTTGCGTGCTGGAGTAGAATTTAAGTCGAATTGGAAAACTCAGGCTTCAGCAAATAGGAGTCTGATTATACAGACATTGTAGCCCGCATTGTCTTTTCTCGCCTATTTTATAGTCATCGGGATTGTTAACTAAAAGATTTAGTTTCGGCATAGATTTCATCACTAGGACAGGAACAATATTGGACAAATTTAGAAAAACAAACGAACTGCACTTTGCATCTACCTTAATTCATTGCAAAATATGTTTTTTATAGTATAGATAATTCGACATATATTTGCAGATCAGGTAATTTTGCAATTAGAATTTTTCTATTGTAGATTCAGTTTTACATGAGTCCTTGAATCTTATATTGATATAAAGCTGAAAAAAGTGTCTTTCTTCTTTAGGACAACGTCTTCTGTCATCAGTCTTTTAGTCCTACGTTTTAAAGATCATTTCTCTTTCACTCTCAATTTTAGATATTTAATTTATGAATAAAAACAATTGTGTGGAATGATTTCAGAAAAAAAAACGTTTCAAAACACCAATTTATACAAACGAACGTTTTTTTTTTTGTTTTACTTTTTCTTAAATTTCTTTTTTCGATAATGTGCTAGTTTAACTATGAAAAAACGCATGCCGCATTAGCATATTTTGAGTTTTATGAGGGTTTTTAGTCGGTGGCCGATCAATTCGTCGCGATCAATTCGTCGCAAAACAATTCGTCGCACATGTA